CCTTTGCCGCACTACCATATCTTCGGGGCTTCTATAACGCATACTACGAGCGTGTATGGTTACCACGAGAGCAGCAGTGGCTGAAGGAGATCCAGCCACGAGCTGGCGAGGACACAACCGCAGATGTTCAGGCACAACATGATCACGACCATGACCACGACCATGTCGGTGACGAGGATGTGATCGAAGAAGTAGAGATAGAACTCGACTTTGACATCTTCGCAGACTGGAACAACAATGGCGAAGCCGACAACGACGACGACGATGACGACGCGCCCGAAGCTCTTCCCGTACCCGTCGCGCGAGGCCCAGCAGGACCCATCGACGCGCCACCGCAAGACGATCAGGACGACGCAGAGATGCCTGACCTGGTCGACGTCGAACCCCAGCAACACGCAGCACCTCCGCCCAACATCCCCATGCAACCCGCCGCTCCTCGACCCAGACGCGTCCGTCGCGAACGCGGCGTTACCTTCTCCACCACCTCCCTTGCCGACACCATCCTCGGCGCCCTCATCTTCCCCACCATTGCCGCCGCCATGGGCGAGATCCTCAGACTCAGCTTACCCAGCTCCTGGGTCACGGCTCCTACAGGCGCACCGGCAACATCTTGGCTCGGTGGCTGGATCAATACGGGTGGCAAGGCAGGTGGTGTAGGCAAGCCAACTGGGTTTCTGCAGACGCGTTGGGGAAGGAGTGTTGTCGGTGGATGTATGTTTGTTGGGCTGAAGGACATGATCATGCTGTATGTCCGGTGGAAGACGGCGCAGAATCATCGAAAGAGGGGGATTGTGGATCATGATAGGAAGAAGTCGAGGGGTGGTGCTAGGGTGTCGGCTTGAGGGTGTTTGAGTTTGGGTGTTTAAGAATTGGAGTGAGCTCAGGAGTACGGGTACATGATGATGGGACGAATGTGTTTGAGCATGTTGTGGAGTCGACCTGTTCGGAGGGTCTACTATTTGTATATTACACTCAATCACACTAGACTGGCATCCCAGTCACGATGAACTATCAGCTCTCAATTTCTCTTCTCAATCAGATGTGAAGCAACTGTCCCAGCCTACTAACCCCCTACCCAGTCCAAGAGTCTACCCAAACCTCTCCGCAGCAATCCTCTTCAGGAACTCCATAGTCCCCGCTTCCTTCTCCCTCCGTTCCGCCAGTCTCTCATTTCTCTCCGCCTCCCTCGCTCTCGCAATCTCCTCCCGTCGTATTTCTCTCTCATTCTTCTGCCTCTCTTGCTCCTTTTTCTTCTTCTTATACACGTCTATCCCATCGTCGCCCATGAGGTCCGACTCCGGCACGTCTACCTCCCCAGCTTCTTTGGCGTCGCGGAAGGAGTTTAGGGTGGATGTTGTTTCGCGTTTCTTCTCTAGTTGGCGTTCACGGGAGTTGGGGTCCGCGCGGGGGGCGAGGTCGTCTAGAGCCTCTTTCTGCGATTTACGATCCGTTTTGCGGGCGTGCCGGATGGAGTCTAGGTAATTTGATTGGCCATTCGCGCGGTCTTCGGTGACGAGTTCGTTGCGCAGGGTTAGGTCGTCCATGTTGGGGATTGTGGGACCGTGGCCGGTATGTCGGGGGAGGTGCGTAGGTGGTGCGGGACCGAAGTCGTCGTCGCTTGCATCTGAACCTTCTTCCCCATCCCTCTGTGCATAGCTAGGCGACGCTCTTTTCCTAGGCGCTATAGGCGAAGTCGCACGATACGTCTGCACCGTCTCCTTCGCCGTCTTCAACATGGACGGATCGTACCAACTCCTTGCTAGCTCCCCCCTGTTCCAGCGACTAACGAAGCTCTTCCATCGGCCTTTTGTTTCCCGCTCGTCTAGGCTGTCGAGTTGGATGTTCTTCTGGATGTCGAGGTAGGATTGGAAGAGCGATTTGTAGTCTTCGTAGTGGCGCTTTGATAGAGGCTTTGCTTTGTAGGGTAGGTCTATGGGTCTGGATGCGGCGGGTGAGCGCGAGCGGTGCCGCTTGTGTCGGTGGGTGTCTTCGTCGCGACGGGGGGAGCGCGAGCGGTGGGAGCGATGGGAGCGATGGTGTTTCTTGTGGGCGCGCGGTTCACGAGCGTCGGAATCGGGATGAGGCCGCGACTGTGTTGGCAATTGCGCGGTGGAGGCTTCGGGTGTTTGGCTGCGGCGCGGCATGGTGGAGGTTTGGTGGTGGTGGTGGAAAGTCAATGTGGAGACGGAGCGCAGAAGTTCACATGTCATAGCGGGCCGCTTCCGCGCGGTGAAGTGCGCTAGCATAACACGGGCCCGGTCTTCGCTCCAGCTAATTCTCAACTTCATCGCATTCTCGCATTCTCGTATACATATATAGATGTTTTTTTGGTCATGTCATGGAGGGGAGGGGAGTCAAGAGGTATGTATGTGTGATAGTGATGGTGGGGGTAGGGAGAGGGGGGTAACTGTGCATTATCCCCCCTCTTTCTATCCTTCTTCTTTGCCTTCTCTACCTACATCTATCCTATACACAAACATACTTTTTAATCATCTTTACACTCTTCTTCATTCTACTTTCTTTCTTCTCTTCTTCCTTCTTCTCTACTTTCTCTTCTTCTATCTCGTCTCTGCTATCATATATAATAGTTAGCATTTTTGTTTCACTTGTCTTACTTACTTCAGGTTTTCCTTTTCCTGTTTGTAGATATTCTGGTATCTGTTCATGTTATTTACTTTCTTCTTCTTAATACTCTTCTTACTTACATCTATCATATCTGTATTTCTTCCTTTCCAGTTCTTTTCTTCTGCTATTTTACCCATCTTGATTCTGTTTCTATTGTTAATAGTTAGCTTTCTTTCTTTCTTTTGTTCTTCTTGGGAATTCTGAGGAACAAGAGAGGGGGATGGCATGTTTATATATGTTTTGGCTTTGACTCATAGATGTGTGCGCTAGGTTGGAGTTTGGTTGCTTATCTTCAAATTTGAAGTTGTGGGGATGGGTATTGGTCGTACCGAACTAGTACTTGCGCAAACCAACGACTTCTCACGACCCTTCAGCGGCCACAATACTTCAGTATACCAATTAAAAGCCTTGCCCCTTCCTTTTCGCATCGACTCTACAGCAATTATATCCAAAGCCTCTCCTTCGTCAAGACGAGAAAACTCTTCACCCCCGTGTTAGAGCGCAAAGAATCACGATGGATCCCCCACAATTCCGTAGCTCCAGGACCCTGGATTTCAGCTACCCAGGCAATACTCAAGCCTGTGAAAACTCACTATAGGGCAGAACAATCGGCTTTGTGTTCGGTTTCGAGGCCGGTTGTCAACGGTACCTATCACATGTGTCAAGTCTCCAGGGCTCCTTCTCACACGAGACCACGATGACCCAGGGACGAGGAGCCAACCACATCTTCCACATTTGGGACGATTCGTACGCAAGGAGATGCTCACGTACGAGAGTTGTCGCGACTCCAATAACTTCGAGTCCTCTACCGCACATTACTTTGGAATCGCCAGTCTGTACAGGTCTCGTGCCGCTATACATTGACATACATGCATTCACTTGGATGTATATACTACCGAGAGGACCCTGCCCGGTGTTTTCCATTCGGGCTGCACGCGCGGAACAAGAAGTCTGCGACTGCATGCGCGGATCAAGAAGTCTGTGAACCTTGGAAGGCGGGCGTTGCCATGGTTTCCCAATGACTCTTACGGAGAGGCGATGATGTATGGCTCTGAACGCCCCGACTCTGCCGACCGGCGGACTTCTACGGCACCCTATCGGAAGGCTAAACCGCGACCGAAGCTCAGCATCTGACACGTGAGATTGCACATCCGGTGACTGACCATGTCCAGGTGCCGATGTAGATCGCAAGACTGCTGTAATTCCTAATCGCGACCCACAGACCTCTTACCCAACCGTACGAGCCGTTCATTGTGGCTTGCTAAGTAAGCAAATGGGAGCCAAAACGGGATCAGTACGGTGGTGTGTACTGCCAAGTGAGTTCACAGTCCGGCATCTACTTAGGTATACATCGGCGGGAGTCTCCACCTGGAAACGGTGTTGTTCTCATTTTGGATGCAATCTGTGATCCATCTTCCTCGCTATTCATCTCATCGACCAGGAATGGGAATGATCATGGGTCCACCCGTTCCGCTACTCACCGCGGGCGGGCGTGGCTGTGCAGACTGTTTCACAAGCGTTCTTGCCTCATGATAGCCTATCAAGCAGCAAACTCAAGAGCAGCTCCGGACAGCATCAGCATGCCAGCCTCACCGGCTCGCAATCAAAACATACACATGCAATGGGTAAGCCCAGCCGTCCACGCGATTACGCGTTTATAGGTAGATGTAGACGAATACCCTAGAGAGCATCAATACACATCGAGTCACTTCTAAAGATTGCTGTGGCTTCTACTGCATCTCCGGCGACATATCCAGATTTGGCTCTCTACATCATCCCCTCTCATCACCATAGGATCATAAACATCCTCGCTCAGTACACCGGAGTGAGTACGACTCAGGCTGGAAAGCGATACACCATGGTTTCACTCTCCAGCGAAGCTATCATTGCAATGGTTGGCATCGTGGTCACGGTGGTGTCCTCTTCATGCGTCCTCACCGTCCGGCACGTTATTAGGCGCACGCGTCGCGTCGACCCAAACCAGAACGAACATAGTAAGCCTCAGAATTTCATGTCAAGATGTGGGAATTACGCTAAAAGACTCACAGTAAACCGCGTTGAGCTCCGTCGTCTACCTCCCCGTTCGACCCTAAGCCCTCAGACCGAGTACACGGAAGTTCGTGGAAGCGCTCCTCGGGACACGATGGATACAAGTTGCTGATGCCACGTCGGGAAACTACACAGGTGTAGGGTTATACCACGACGACTATATTGATAGGCCAGGGGACGACATGCTGGAAGTCACTTGTCGCGGGCGACACGATACTCCTTGATGGTAGCTACAGGCAGGGGTGAAACGGCTGACAGAAGGCTTGGAAAAACGCCGAATTCTCATATTACATTCCTATATAAACATACCACACTGCTACCTCGTCCTATGCAACACCAGGAATAGCCACCGGCCCAACCGGCCCACTACTCGCCCCGATGTTTGCCTGATGCATCGTCCGCGCACCCCATTGATCTGGGTAATCCACGGCAGTATGAAACATCTGGTAGTTGGCCCACATGATGATATCCCCCTCCTCTACCTTCGGCAGCATGATGTATTCCGGTCTGAGTACGCGTTCTTGAATGGGCTTGAGCCACGCTCTTATCTCGGCAACGTCATCGATGACTCTTGGTTCCTCGTCTTCGCTAGACCGAACGAATGCGCGCCGGACGCAAATGCCGTGAACCATGAAAGCGCACTCGCCTGTTACGGGGTTCACCCAGACCATCGGGTAGCGCTTGATGTCTTTCTCGTCGTAGGGTCCAAGGTCTTCCATTGACTTCTCTTTACCTTGACTTACCAGGCCTAGACCGTGGGACTGGCCTTTGCAGTCGCCCATCCATTGATAAGGGTGGGGGGCGTACTCGACCCATGAGTGATCAGCTATTTTCTTCTCTTGCTCTGTCATCAAGTCGTATGTCTGTACGTTGCTGAAGAAGGCGGTCAGACCGGGTTCAGTCTTCATAGTCAAGCCACTGTCGTCGTCCCAGTGTACGGTCAGTTCTGGAGATGTGGGCCGCTTGATGCAGCGAAGGGTGGTGAACCAGGCCGGATCACGCGCGTATAATGGTGCATCGATGTGCCAGCGTTGGAAGCGTGTGTGGCCTTGCGCGTACTCATCATCTGGAAGCGGTTTGTCGTGCCATGCGTGTGCGAGTTCCTTTTTGATGGTTGCATCTTTGAGGCCGTAGTGGTCTGATCCTTGGTAGCCTTTGCCAATTAGACGAACGTTCTCTGCGCTGGGTATACCGACAACATCGCGACCTCTCTGGACCCTGATTAGCGAGGGGCACCGCCTGGTTGGAGGTGACTCTTACCGATAGTAGCCCACCCTGTTTGTGGAAGGTCTTGACATCGCCATGAGAATGCACATGTGGTGCTTTAGGATCGAAGCGTGTGACAAGCTCCCATTGCTTGATGGGTGCAAGGTTCTTCTGACCCTTAACAACAACAAGCTTGTGTGTCCAGATCGCGCCTGAGAGCGCTTTGACGTCGGAGTCTACAACACAACGTTAGCTAATCGCATAGCCATCCTCATGGCGCCAGTGTGCTTACCACTGATGCTGTTCAGATCTAGGCCATCGATCACCGCTCCAAAATTATGCTTCTCCTTGGCAGTCTTATCCATCTCCTTCACCTTGAAGGTGGGCTCAGGAGCCAGGATACCTGGTGCCATGATTCTTGGCCGATGTCGAGGAAACTGATGACCAGCAATCTTCCTTCTAGGCGGTGGTCTCTTGCGGTGAGTTTTGAACAAAAGAAGCGAGAGTTCAAGTGCTGAGAACGCAAAGCCCGATGTCATAAGTGTCTACACCATCAGCCTTGATCTATAATCCCCACGCCACATATATGCTCAGGGTCGAGACCATGTTCATCCACCCACTCTTACTCAACGGCCATCCCCGCATTCCCATCTAAGCACTCGGTCGTTATCAAAGACCATATCTCAGCTGCGCTTGATACTGTAACGATGAATCTACCGAACGTGCGGGGAATGTTTCCCTGGGAGGCGCCCTTCGCTAAGATCCATGGACGTTATCTTATCAGCAGCCAAGTCTCGGCCGAGAGTCAACTCATGGAAGCTGCTGCGCTCGGCCGACTTCGTAATCCGTGATCTGTGCGAGCGCGGTAGCTGGATAGGCGGGTTAGTCGACAGCAGTGGGCGCATGTTCGCATGCGACTACGATGTGGTGAGATAGCAATCGCTGACCGGGCAGCGCACTCTCAGTGCACGACCGATCAGCGCAGTCACCGAAACGTGAGATGCGAGATGCAGTCAGCTGTTTTCGCGGTCATTGCATGTGGTGTTCGCGTTATGTGAGATAGAGCCTTCGAGCACATGTGCGACGCGTCGAGCTCTTTGCTGTTATCTTTGGTATCAGAACAGGCTACAGCAGTTTTGCGATGGTCTCGGTGGGAAAGGCGAGAGATGTTTGCAGAATCATCATGGCGTATGCTGTGTGGTAGAGAAGTGGCTGTAACAATGCATCGAAGAGCGCTGGTGGAGGAAGCCTCGTTCGATGGGCGCAGGGATGCTCACGTGATCATGGCATGACTCGCCACGCGTCATCGATACCTGTCTCAAGCACACGCGTACAATTGACATCCACAACTTTCACGCATCTTGTTTGATACTTTATTGCAGCTACCTCATCATACAGCTCTCATACGAGCACTAGCTTCGTCTCGGATCTACATACACGTGCCATGGTCCCCTCACTCCGAAGGATGATCGCTCGCCGCAATGTTGCACTGATGCATCACACGTGGGCCGTACGACTTCGGAAACTCGGTCTGCAAGCAAAATAGTATTAGTCACCATTGCATCACTGAATCTTCACGAAGGAAGACTTACGATGCTGTGCAATAGCGCGCGGTTGTACCACAGGATCACATCCTGCTCTTGATGCGGATGCGCATATATGTTCTCGGGTTGCAACGCCGGTCGCATGAGTCTGCCTGCAGTCAGTATACGAACAAAGTATGAGATCGCGATACTTACTTATCGAGGAACGCCCTGACCTCTCCCAAGTCCTCAACGACCGTCTCTGGCCCATCAGGGCTGCTCTTGAGATGCAGCTTCAACGCGCCTTGACCATGCACCTGCAGCGACTTCTCACTAGTCTTCGGGTTCGTCCATACCATCGGGTAGACACAGACTTTGCTCTTCTCCCATTTCGGCAGCTCGTCCAGTGGCTTCTCAAGCCCTTCGGTTTCGAGAGAGTGGCCGAGCCGGGTACTGTGCGCTTTGGACATCCAGACGAAAGCGTGCGGCGCATACTCGATCCTGCTATTCAGAACAATGTTCCGTGTCTCCTCGTCAAGCAGCGCCAGTGCACGATTACCAGCGATCATTGCTGTCGCTCCCGGTGCCATCTTCATTTGAGTCCCTGCTTCATCCTCCCATCGCACAGTCACATCTGGGCCCTTGGGAGTTCGAACAGCCAAGAGACAGCCCACACGTGGAGGAGGAATGTCGTACAAAGAGCCATCAAAATGCCATTGATAGAACCGCGAGGCACCGGCTTCGCGCTCTTCCGCCGGTATGTGCGGTGGAAGATGGAACTCTTCGTGATCGATGCCTTGGACTTCGAAGCCTGGCGGAAAGCCGAAGTGGCCTTCTGGGACAGGGCCGCGTCCAAGAATATGGACTTGAGGCTGCACCGGGATTGCTGGACGCTTGGGAATGCCGTAGAAGTCGACGCCATTGTGGTGGGTGAGGAAGGGGTCGTGACCGTGAGCGAAACCACCGGTTGTTTCTTCGCGGTCGAAGCTGGTACTAAGTTAGATCAGGCGAGTATGGCGAAGTCTGGCGACCTACTTTGCAGTGAGAAGATACTGCTGCTGCGGCTTCAGCATCTGCGGCTGCTCCTTGAACACCAACAGTTTCCACTTGTGTAACGCATCGGAAACAAACTCAAAGTCTGCATCCGTGAAGTTGTTCAAATCGATGCCGTAGATCTCGGCGCCAAAGTCTACCTGGCTACCTTCCGCGTGCTTGATGGGCTCGACGCGTCCGGTGGTCGTATCGGCATGTGGGAGATCGAGAATGGGCTTCTCTGCTTTGAGACGCAGACAGTTGGTCTCTTCGGTTATAACGGCTGTGACGACCATCGTGTTGAGTAGCTAAGTAGAACTTGAGTTTGATGGGCCTTTACAATCTACGTGTAAGGAGGCATGGGAATAGTCTCGAGACCACCATTGAGTATATGACCCATCAAGTCTAGCTCGAGTACTTACACCTGATCTACCAGCCCGATAATGTTCGCATGGCGACATCCCGAGCTGCGCTTTTCTTTTGGTGTAAATGCATTGATACCACCTTGGGCTCCTATCAGCCAGGCTCAGGACCTCGGCCGAGTATCCACCTCCACCTTCGGATACAGCCGCACCCTCACGAGGCTGGTTATACCGTGTGCAGATATCATGCATACGTTCATGTACACGCTGCGTTCGTCCCAGGAGTAAATATCCCGTTGCTCACGATCAAACACTCTTATCCCACCCTCTTACGATGATTGCTCGCACTCTAACTTCTTCGTACTACAAGACAACCTCCGGTACAAATACACATTACCTACAAGCTGGCAATCCTTCGGGTCCGTTTCTAATATGTCTCCATGGACTTGGAGGCTCTACCGAGACATTCTCGCCACTTGCGCCTTCTCTACCTTCCACGTATAACATCATTCTTGTTGACTTTCCGGGCTTCGGAAAGACGCCACTAGCAGGCGTCAGGAAACCACTTTCCGTCGAAGGGCTCGTTGTCGACTTGGCCGACCTCATCGCATCTTTACGAGGAAGCTCGGATGACTCGGCCTCGTCCAAGGTTGTCATCTTTGGACATTCCCTCGGCGCTATCGTCGCTTTGCACTATGCTGCGAAGCATCCGCAGTCTGTTGCAGATCTCATGCTACTCGGTCCCGGTCAAGCGGCTGGTCACATCCCCGCTGTACGACAGCGCATGCTCGATCTTGCGGCCGCGGTGAGGAAGGAAGGCATCAAGTATGCAGCGGATATTGCGGCCAGGTCTAATTTCTACGACGATAGGTACGCACATAATGAGCCCAGAAGAATGTCGAGACCGTGCTAACAGTGAATCCGCAGCCAAGACCGAAAGGTAGATCCAGTAGCTCGAGAAGCCGTAAGGCTCGATGTGAGCTCTGCGGATCCAGAAGCCTATGCGCAAACATGTGAAGCTATCGTAGACGGTAGCCACAAAGACCCGCCGTATCAAGACATCACATGTCCGGTAGTCTTCGTAGCAGGGGACAAGGATATGATCAGTCCAGTACAACGCTCGCAAGATCTCAGTACATTGATTGGAGGAAGAAGCTGGATTCATGTTGTGAAAAGTGGTCATCAGCCGATATTGGAGGATCTCCCGGGGGTTGAGAAAGCGGTGCATCAACTAATGGAAGCCGTCATCGAATGAAACGTGTTAAATCATGTAATTGCGCAAGCCAACCACGCGAGTGATGCGCAATATGATTTCCGTCTCGTATTGGACTACGTTGCGCCGGACACTACCAGGTCGAAGGGACAGCTGCGAGAAGTTACGCCAATGAGAAATCGTAATTTGCTAGATACAAAAGATCATCGAAACTATTGGTACCTGCGAAGCCCGAGGCTGAGAAAGGAAATGCAGATTGCGGCTGTTCAAACGTGGTGGCGAGGCAATTGTTCTCTTCCGAGTAATGTGGAGGAGGTTGGTCAGTAGTAGATCCTGATGTGGCTGTAGGACGTGGCGAAGGGTAGCTGTCGCCATGGTTGGCCTGGTAGAAGTTCCTAACCAGGGCCGAGACGTCAATTTTGGAAGCGGGTGTACCGTCACGATTACGCTTTCTTCTTCTTTGAGACAAAGTCTCGTGCGACGCCTGAGCAAGCAAAGCTTTGAGAAGTCTGACGCCTCTAACCGCAATCATACTCTCTGCGCGCCGCTGCAGAATCTCTACGACCTCTTCAACAAGTGTTCGGTGCTCGAAACTTTCGTTCGCGTTGATCTCGCGATGTAGTACGTCTAGCAACAGGGTGATGGATGCAGCGACCGCAAATGCTTGGTGAATCCACAAGGTGGGGCCATCTTCCCCGACCAAGGCCTTGTACTCCTTGACGATCGTTTTGGAGGCTGCGAGACATGTTCGGCGGGAGAACGCGAAAGCAGGATTGACGAAACTGTCCAGTAGAAAAGAACGATGAATCATGATGATCTTGTGACTCGACGTAATGGCTAGAGCGCGCCGCGCCCATGGTACCCACGTGGGCCAGCTCGGATCCAACGGTGCGTTCGTCATGAAAACTGGCCTTCCACGAGTGGCCAGTTCTCGAAGTCGCGCATCCCAATGCAAGGCCGTTTCGTAACGTGTGTAAGGTGTATTGCATGATACGAGGCTGTCCTGAAGCTGGGGCATGATTATCGCGATGTTGCGCAAGAATAGAGAATAGCTTGTAGTAGTAGGAACGTCCGCGTCAACGGCGGTCAAGTCGCTGTCGTGGCTGTTCAGCGGTGGGGTTGATGTCGAGTATCTTGGAATGACCAGGTAGCTCTCCGAAAACGGTATGCTGAACCAGTCCTGGCTGCAAAGTTGACACCAAACTCTACGACCAGTCTCATTTGCTACGACACCTCCACTGGCGTCTGGCCCTAGGCGATGAACGCCTAAAGATTGAGCAATGCGTACAGCAGTTGCGAGATGGATGCTTTGCTTTGTACTGAACCCTAGGAGGTGGGCTGAAACGGTTGCCGTGGCTATAGCTTGGCAAGAAAGGATGCTCAAGTTACTCGTATAGTCCGCCCGATTAAGGCAAGTGAAAATAGCTTGGTACCATCGTCGCGAGAGCTTCTGCCGCTCGGCCTTGTCAAATCCCCACGATTGCGCTCGCAAATCGGGTGCGCACGCAAGACTAGCAGCCAGTATAGCGAACAATAGAGCTACCCATTGGAGATCCGTAGATGGTCGTTCGATAAGCCCATTATCTCTATCGTAGAAATCTTGGAGTTGCGCCTGGAAAGTAGGAACGAAGTAGCTGCTATGGTACCACAACAGGCTTTCGTGGTGGTACTCTACCAACAGTCGAACTTGGTGGGGGCTTGGAAGAAGTAATTGAAGCACCGAAAGCTGGGACAAGTCATCAAATATGCCTGAACCAACTTCAATCGGATCATCATCCACGGGCTCGAGGGACGCGACTGTGTGACAGTGAGGCTCTTTCCTTCTTCCCCAAGCGAGGAACTCCAGTACTGTCGCGGTATCTCGAGAAACAGTAGCATCGTCAGGCTCATCTGCGGACTCATCGGGAAGCCCATCGTTTGGTGTTTCCGGCTGCAGAGTTCCGGACGGAGTTCTAACGATCGTGGGGCTTCGCTGACAGGTTTCGCTTTCTAGCCGTGCGACCCGTTGTCGCAAATAGTCGAGCTCACATGATCTTCGGTCGAAAGGGCGTGTTGGAGAGCTTACATCGCTACGCAATGCGTCGATACCGCACGAATCCTTTTGACCCCGTCTTATGCAGTTGTCGCAGGGTATCGTCTTACTGCACTTGACTTTCCGCTTCGCACAAGCTGTGCACGTCAACCTGCTTCGCGAATGGGACGCCATGGCGAGGCGAGATCAAGCGGACAATCCGGCGCCATAGTCAAGAAGGATGAGGTCTCCAGTGATAAACACGGAGGTTGCGGGATGGTCGCTTGGAGATAGCCCTGGAGCGAACTGATAAGCGTCGGCACTAGCGCCGGCCGACCTTCGGCTCTCATCCTCCCCATTCAGGTGGCGCACGCTTGCATATCATCCCAACGCGTCTCATTGCAGCATGAACACCTCCCATCAAATGCAGCAACACGATAGCGATATGGGCAAGGAACACATACTTATCTATGATAGCGACGAGGTATGGCCCAATCACGTCACGATGAACGATAAGATCAGCCCAGACTACCCCATCTTTTGCTCAGCGCGGTGCGACGTAAGCGCAGCTGTCTATCTTTGACACCTGCCGCGAGACGCAGCACATATATCCTGACTTCATAAGATGAGGATAGCTTGCTATTTTTGTGGAAGATCGGACTCGGACGCAACCTCGAAGTACATCGTCGATCACCTATCTTTCCGTCATCGCTTTACTCGAACGACTGGAGATATTCATCGCTAAACGACTTTTGATGAGCTCAGGAGAAGACTGCTCGAATCACATGGGCGCATAAAAAAACAGAAGCCCCTCACAATGCACTTTACAGGCAGCATACGCAGTCGCAGCCACGCGGCAAAAGAGAAGATGAAGCTTCGCATAACGCAGCCATCGAGCTGGCAACTTCCTAAGCAAAACAGCAGCATCGCACCGCCCGATGTATGGACCAATGCCGATATGGAGCCAGTACCACCGGAAAAGCGGACTTGGGGCAAGAGCGCGTTCGTAACGTACTGGTTCAGTGACCTTGTTACCATATCGACTTGGAGTTCAGGATCTGCCATCTTTACACTTGGTAAGTGCTCGATAATCACAGTTATTTGGGGGTCATGATATTGATTGGAGTAGGTCTGACGGCAACCGATGCTGTGCTCATAACGCTCGTGGCGGGTATATGCAACGCTATACCCACAGTATTGAACGGCGCCATCGGCTCGAATTTACACATTCCATTCCCCATTGCCTCTCGCGCCAGCTTTGGTTACTGGTTCAGCTACTTTGCCATCGTGAGCAGAGGCGTCTTGGCCATGTTTTGGTTCGGTGTCCAAACAGCCAATGGAGGCACATGTGTGACTGCGGTACGTTGTACTGAGCATGGCCTGATGGTTGCGTCTTCTGACATATCTTCCTAGATTCTTAACGCTATTTGGCCAAGCTTCCGCGATATACCCAACCACTTGCCTGCTTCAGTCGGTCTCACCACGGCTGGGATGATCTCATACTTCTTGTACTGGCTCATTCAGTTTCCCTTCCTACTCATTCCAACGCACAGGCTACAGTACATGTTTTGGGTGAAGACAGTCTTGTTGCCACCGGTAGCTATCGGGATGACAGTCTGGGTTGCTGTCAAAGCAGGCGGTAATGGCACGTTCTTTACACGTCCGGCCTCTGTGCATGGCGCTGAAAGGGCCTGGCTCTGGTTATCGAGCATGACAAGCATTACTGGTGGATACAGCACCCTCGCTGTCAACATTCCCGACTTCTCCCGCTTCAGCAAAGATCCTACAGCGCAATACTGGCAGATGCCGGTGATCCCTTTCTTCAAGACTATGGTCGCTCTTATGGGGATCGTCTCTGCATCCGCAGCCCAAGAGATCTGGGGCACAGCCTATTGGACGCCACTACAGATCATAGATACTTGGGATACGCCTGGTGGCCGTGCAGCCGCCTTCTTCTGCGCTTCCATCTGGTTGCTTGGGCAGCTCAGCGTCAACATCAGTGCGAACGCCGTCTCTTTCGCCAATGACGTCACGACACTAGCGCCAAAGTACGTCAATGTGCGTCGCGGGTCGATTCTTGTCGCATTCATCGGCGGCTGGGCGCTATGTCCTTGGATTATCGTAGCGTCCGGCAAGGCGTTCCTCAACTTCATGAGCGCATATGCCATCTTCATGGCGCCCATGGCCGGCATTCTCTTCACAGACTACTGGCTGGTAAAGAACAGGAAGTACGACGTTCCCGCTTTATACGACCCAAGAGGTATCTACCGATATGGTCGCTACGGCACAAACTGGCGTGCTGTTGTCGCAACGTTCGTTACCATCATTCCTCTGCTGCCAGGTCTAGTCAACAAGGTCAACCCAGATCTGAAGCTTTCGGCTGGTCTCCAAAACCTCTTCACGTTCGACTGGCTTTACGGGTTCTTCCTGTCCATCTTCTTGTACTACTTTTGTAATCTGTTCTTTCCTGCTCGGCAAACTTTGGTTCCACGTGTTGTCACCGGGTTTGAGTATCTGGATGGGATTGAAGTTGGCACGGAGGCGGGAAGCGTATCGCAAGATGGGAAGATTGGGGAGTGTAAAGACATGCCCGAGGCGAATGTGTCTCCTCGGCATTCGAGCTAAGCTCAAGACTCCGGCAATTAGAGTACCTACATGATATTATGTCCGGTAGCATAGAAGAGGTTGCACAAAACGACTTCGATTCTGTAATCATTACT